AATAATGGAGAAAATCAATGAAACCAAAAGTTGGTTCTTTCTGAAATGTCAACAGAATTGACAAAACTTTAGCTAGACTGACCAAAATAAAGAGAAGAGTCATATTACTAAAACGCAGAATACAATAGAGGATGTTACTATAGACCTTACATGCATTAAAAGGAATATAGAGAATACTCTGAATAATTTATGCCAACAATTTAGCTAGCCTAGATGAAATGGACAGATTTCAAGGAAGACACAAACTGCTCAAACTGACCTAAAAAGAAATGGAAAATTTCAATAAATCTGTAACAAGTAAAAAGATTGAATGAGTAATAAAAGATTTTCCCACAAATAAAAGAAATTCCACGTTCATGGATCAGAAGACTCAGTATTGTTAAGATGGCAATGCTTCCTAAATTGATTTCCAAATGCAAAGCAACACATCAAAATCACAGCTGTTTGGTTTTTTGGGTTTTTTTTAAAGATTGGCATCTGAGCTAACATCTGTTGCCAATCTTCTTTTCTTTTTTATTCTTCTTCTCCCCAAAGCCCCCCAGTACATAGTTGTATGTTCTAGTTGTAGATCTTTCTGGCTGTGCTATGTGGGACGCCGCCTCAGCATGGCCTGATGAGTGGTGCCATGTCCGCGCCCAGGATCCAAAACAGAAAAACCCTGGGCCGCTGAAGCAGAGCGCATAAACTTAACTGCTTGGCCGTGGGGCGAGCCCTGCAGCTGCCTGTTTTGCAGACAGTGATGCTAAAATTTCATATGGAAATGTAAGAGACTTAGAATAGCTAAAACAATCTTGAAAAAGAACAAAATTGGAGGACTCATATTTCCTGATTTCAAAACTTCATACAAAGCTCCAGTAATCAAGACAGTGTGGTACTGGCATAAGGATAGATAGATAGATCCGTGGAATAGAATTGTGAGTCTAGAAATAAACCCACGCATTATTAACAAGTGATTTTTGAACAGAGTGCCAAAGCGATTTAATGGAGGAAAGAATAGTCTTTTCAATAAACTGAGTATCTACACACAAAATAATGAATTAGACCCATACTTCACACCATGTACAGAAATTAACTCAAAACGAATTGAAGGCCAAAATGTAAGAACTAAAACTATAAAACTCTTAGAAGAAACATGAAGTATATCATCATGACCTTTGATTAGGCAATGATATCTTATATATGAGAGCACAAGCACTAGTAACAAAAGAACAAAACAGTAAATCGGATAGTAGCAGATAAATTAAAAACTTGTGTGCTTCAATGAACTCATCTTCAAGAAAGTGAAAAGACAACCCCATGAATGGGAGAAAATATCTGGTAAGGGCTTTGTATCCATAATATGTAAAGAACACTTACCACTCAATAATAAAAAAAAATCAGTTTTAATAGGCAAAGGATCACATTGGTCATTTCTCCGAAGAAGATATACAAATAGCCAGTAAACATATCAAAAGATGCTAAACACAATTAGCATTAAAAAAATGCAAATCAAAACCACAACGAGATACCACTTCACACCCACCAGAATAGCTATAATGAAAAAGAGACGATAACAAGTGCTAACTAAGATGTGTAGCAATTGGAACCCTCACACACTGCTGGTGCAAACTTAAAATTGGGTGACTAATTTGGAAAACTATTTGGCAGTTCTTCAAAAAAGTTAAAGTTAGGTTATCATAAGAGCCAGCAATTCTTCTCTCAGGTATATACCCACAACAATAGAGAGCATATTCACACAAAAACTAGTACACAAATTTTCATAGCAGCATTTTTCATGATAGCATGAGAGTTGATACTGAACCCAGTCATCTTTTAGCAATAAGTAATATTTGTCCACGGATAAAGAATAAAAAACAATCCCATTTGTAACAACATTAAGGGATGTAATTCTAATAAAATTTTATCTTTTATTTTTAATAGTTACTTAACCTATTATGAAGTAACTATTAATATTTTAATCAGTAATTCATTAAATGAAACAGAATATTGCATTTTTTACAAAAATAACTTTGTGTATTATTATTATTATTTAGTGCTTTTGCAATAATGACAAACCGCCAGCGTATATAAATGGTCCCCAGAACACATTGATAAAAGCCTCGGGTGTACCTGGAACAGGAAATCAGGGCCGTACAATGATTAAGAGTTGGCCTTTGAGCCAAATGGCCTGGACTCTAAAGCCAGCTTTGCCATTCGTAGGTGTGACCTTAGGCAGGTCATTTCATCTCTCTGGCTTGATTTCCTCATCTTTAAGATGACATTATTCACAGCATTTATCTCAAAATTGTTGTGAGACAAACAAATTAGCATTTGCAAATCCCTTAAGAGTGCTGGACACACAGGAACTGCTTCAGAAGGGTTAGGAGTCCAGGAGCACAGAAGCACTCCTCACGGCATTCCAGACTTACGGTAATCAGTTCACTTATCTAGGACATTCTGTTCCACCAAAGCTATAGTATCTTTGAGGCAAAAATCACAAGATTGGACTTGAAGTTTCAGAAAAAGATGTAACGAGAATCAGAATTTGCCTTTTAAAAGCAAATAGATCTATTTTTTTCTATATTTACCTATAAACAAAACATTTTGTTGCCTCTAAAGTAAATATACATGCAAAATAGTTTTAATTCTTCTGGAACATGTGTGCTAAGACTGTGTCCACAGCCACATGGTCACAAAGCATGGCATTCTTGCAATTTTTATATGGAATATGTAAAGAATAATGAGGGGAAACTACCCAGGATAATGGATTCCTGTGGAATATTAAAGTATAAGATGGAGAAGATGTAAATACATCAAAATTCCTTTCAGGAAGGAAACTGTATTTGTAAGAAATGCTCAGGTAAGTTGTTTGGGGGTAGGGAGTATATTGCAAAATGTGGAGTCAAGGTACAAACCGGAATGTTCCTGCCTCCTAAGGAAGGGCAGCCTGCTGCTGGAGGCTGTTAGAGTCTGCTCGCCCAGAGGAGCTCAGAGTAAGACTCGGGTGGAAACGGGGTCAGATCGAAATTGCCCTGCACGAGAGAGGGAATGAAACACACTTGGAGGTGGGGTGGGGAAACTCAGGGAAGGTAGAAAGAAAAGCCAGAGGGGTTTGAGCCAGAAAGAAAAGAGGAAAATAAGAGAAGCAAAAATAGCTTTTAAAAAAAGAAAAGAAGCATGAAATAAAATCTAACTAACAGAAGGCCAAGCAGAAAATTTTCAGAAAAAAAACATTAATACAAATTTAAAATTGTTTACCTCTGGGTCATATAATAGCTCCTACTAGTCTCCTCTACAGAATTAAAAATCAATTTAGTCTCTAATCCTTGTGTGTGTGTGTGTGTGTGTGTGTGTATGCACCCAAATGAGCAAATGTGCGTGCTTGCAGATAATGAAAAGAGATGCTGAATTCTTTATTCATGTGGACAGGGGTTTGGCTTGGAGGTAGGGTGACATTCAAACAGATATCAAGGGACCAAGGATGAAGATACAGGTAACATCTTTTTATGCTTAATATTCTTTTGTAAGTAAACCTTGTTTGGAAAATCTGGTTCACATTATTCATTTGCTCAGTAAATGTTTTTTCTCCTGTATGGATTATACAGATGCATGACTCAGGGCAACCTGGGACTAAATTCTGGTTAATGGAGTCCAGCTCAATGTAGGTCTACAATGCATAACAGAAATCAAATGCAAGTGGCTTGAGTTCACAACACCTTCAGTGATTATATTCTTCTCTATATACTGTAGCCGCCCCTGACACAGGAAGGGTTAATAATCACTGGAAAAAGCTTGCCAACAAACTGTGACCTGGAAGTGAGAAGGCCAGTTAGCCAATGACAAGTAAGACCTCCAGGGGGAGGCAACCTAAGACAGGCATCGGCCGCCTGGGGGCACAGATGGAGACACCATATCGGGAGCAGGAGGGGCCGTTGCCTAGGAGGACTTGCATGCTCCGAGAGAAAGTATACGAGCACAGCAATAACACGATAATATCAAAACAGAGGCCAAGGGAGGGCTCCTTGAGAAATCACTAAGAATTCTTGGCATTCACTAATTACTTCATACACAACACCTGTGTATGTTTAACAGCTGTAAGCTATGTAGATATTGAAACGCTGGTTATAATAAACTCAGAGTGGCCAGCAGCCCTCTCCGCATCTATCCTGATGTACATTGGACTGCGACACCGACATATACAATTCAAATTTACCTTTTAAAATGCCAGTGGGTCATTCTGTTAAGAATAAACTTTTATAGGGGCACATGCCTGTTTCCCCACGGAGACAGTGGACCTCCATAATGCAAGGAGGAGTTAGCTTACAATCACAGCCCCAGGGCTGTTAAGTTTTGTGCCAAGCAGAGAGACAGACCATAGGTTTGCAATTCTATTATCCACTTTTCCAAATTAATTATATTAATGTAAGAAAAGTGGTGGCACATTTTCTCTTGGTACATAATTGATTATATTAAGGCAACTCTTATCACATATGGGGGAAGAATTATGTCAAAAGGGCTGATGGTATTCTCAAGCATGATACAGTAATTGAGAGTCGTTGTTCATGGAAATTTTGTTTGGGCACATTTCCTTTGTTAATAGCTGCTCACTGACCAGGGCAGGAATTCTCTAGTTTCTAACTTATAACTGGAACATCCTCCTAGGTTGTGACACTTCTTCATGGTGATATTTTGGCTAGGTTACACTAGAGTACTTGGGAAGAAGAACTGAGTCTTTCTCATTTTTCTTTTCCTAGCATGTAGAATTGTGCCTTGAATGTAACATGAACTTAATCAATATTTTTTTATTTGCCTGACAGATTCTTAATTCCAGAAGTGTTTAATTCATATATATTAATGTTGGTATATGTTAAGTTATCCAAGCAGATTAATATTAGTTTTCACTCCTGAAGATGAGGCATCCATAGGACCCTGGTTATTGGCTCTCTTCATTTCTGTTGTTTGTGGCTCCATAATTTTCCAGATTATTCAAAATATCAGGATGGGCATGTGAAATGACTGACCTAGAGATATTTCCATTCTCCTGGGAATTTTGACTTGAACTCATTCCTGATGTTTGTTTTCTTGATTGTCTGAATTAAAAACAATTCAGTAGTTCATCCTGCCTCGGAATGACTTCTCATATCATCCTTCACGCGTCTTCACATTTCTGTTACCTGAAAATTAAATTTCAAAGTTAACCTCCAGCAGCTTGTATGTAAAATAAAATTGGGAAAGAGAGAAAAGAAAAAGATGGAAGATGGTTAGTATGCCCAAATACATACACATATATATCACACATGTATAAAATTAGACACACACACACATATTTAAAGCAGGAGAAAAGAGTGATTGGCAAAGCTACCACAGTTTTTGTTTCTCCTTGTCTCTGTAATTCACCACAAAGTCATATTTGGTATCCATGGCTTCCTTTTTCCACTAGCCATTCCATATTTCTTCTCTCCACAGCAAGTCTCAGGTGGTCAGAGTTCTTTACCTGACAGACTGTTTCAAATCTTGATTCCTAAAGGGTCCAAGTCTTCAATCATCCTGCTCTTTTAAAAAATATCTCATAATCCTCTGAAGAAATCTGCTAACTTTTATTTTCCTCCACAAACTTGGATTATCTTTTAAAAGAATTAACTTTATTTTTTAGAACAGTTTTACATTTACAGAAAAATTGCTAAGATACTACAGAGTTCTCCAATACCCTACACTCAGTTTACCCTATTATTATCATCTTACATAAGTATGGTACATTTGTTACAATTAATGAAACAGTATTGATACATTAACTAAAATATGTACATTACTCAGATTTCTTTAGTTTTTACCTATTGTCCCTATTGTGTCCGAGGATCTCATCCAGGACATCATGTTACAGTTATTTGTCATGTCTCCTTAAGCTCCTCTTGGCTGTATCTCAGACTTTCCTTGTTTTTGATGACTTTGACAGTTATGAAGATTAGGTATATCATAGAATGCCCCTCAGTTGTGATTTGTGTGAGTTTCTCTCATTATTACATTAGGTTATAGGTTTTGGGGAGGAAGACGAGAGCTTTGGGACAAAGAGTGATTTCATCTTATCATATCAAGGGTACATTCTATCAGTATCATGACTTATCAGTGCTGATCTTCTCCTTGATTACCTGGCTGAAGTAGTGTTTCTCAGGTTTCTCCACTATCAAGTTACTCTTTCCCCCCATTTCTGTACTGTGCCATTTGGAAGGAAGTCACCATATGCAGCCCACTCTCAAGGAGGAGGGAATTGTGCTCCACCTCCTCAGGAGCTGAGTATCTACATCAATTATTGGGAATTCTTCTGCATGGGTGATTTAGCCATTTTCTCCATTTATTTATTTATTCAGTCATTTATTTATTTCAGTAAGGACTCGTGGATTTATTTTGTACTTTGGGTTATACTCCAATGTTACTTTATTTTTTTGCTCAAATTCTTCCAGCTTTGGCCACTGAGAGCTTTCATGTGGCTCCTGTGTCCTTTGACATACCTCATCATTGTGGGTTTCCTTTTGTTTGGCTTTGAATAATTCCTTACCTTCTAGCAATATAAGATGATCCAGGTCCATCTTTTTTATTTCCTGCCCTGGTCCTAGAATCAGACATTTTTCCAAGGAGGTCTGACTCCTTTTTATTGGATAATAGTATTAGAAACCAAGATTTGGGCACTAGATGTGCTTTTTGCTACTGGAGTGTCATTTCTTCTAGGCCTTTTCAGCAGACAGAGCAAGGAAAGATAGATATACTAATATATGTATACGCACATATCTATAACTATTTCTATATGTAATTATCTGTATCTGTATTGAGCTAAACTGAGTTCATACAGATGTCTCCCACTCTATTCTACAAACATATGATCATTCAAACCTCCTCCCCCGGCAATTCCGTAAACTCCCCCTCAAACAGTGAGGAACCTGCTTCCTACCATCCACCATTCATTTACTTAATTGTTCACTTTCAATATACACGTATAGCAGTATCAGAATTGTTAACCCGTACGCCCGTGGGAAGCATCTTTATGCACTAGAGTTCAGTGTCTACATACAGTTTCTCTTGCCATTAGTTTTACAGACTCCATTCATTTCCAAAGTCACTTAGGTCAGGACCTTTTCCCTCCACCCCCCCTTCAATGAAGTTGTTTCATACATTAGATTGTTTTGTCACGTTCTGCATTCCATCCTGGGATTTCTTGATATTCTAAGAGATTTTTAAAATTTGCATACATTACGATTCACTCTTTTTGCTGTCCAGTTGAGTGGGTTTTGACAAGTGCATAGTATCAAGTATTTACCATTATAGTATCATAGAGAATAGTTTCACTGCCCTAAACAAAATCTCCTGTGCTTTGCCTATTCAACCCTCCTTTTCCCCTGCTGAACGTGTATCTTGCTGTTGTTGGATGAGGTATTCTAAAAATGTCAATTAGATCCAGTTGAAGTCTCCAACTCTAATAAAGGATTTTTCTATTTCTCCTTGTAGGTTTATGAATTTTTGCCTCATGTATTTTGATGCTCTGTTGTTGGGAGCATACACTTAAGGACTGATATGGCTTCTTGAAAACTGAACCGTTTATCATTATGGAATGTTTCTCTTCATCCCTGATAATTTTTCTTGTTCTGAAGTCTGGTTTGTCGGAAATTAGTGTAGCTACTCCATCGTTCTCTTGATTAGTATGAGCATGGTCTATTTTACTCTGTCCCTTTGCTTTTAAAGCTGAGTCTTTATATATAAAGTGGGTTTCTTGTAGACATCATATAGTTGGGTCTTGTTTTGTTATCCACTCTGATATTCTGTCTTTTAATTGGTGTTTTTAGACCATTCATATTAAAACGATTATTGAGATAGTTGGATCAATATCTACCATCTTTATAACTGTTTTCTGTATGTGGCACTTATGCTTTTTTTTTTTCTTAATATTCCCCTCTTTTTCTACCTTCTGTAGTTTTAATTGAGCATTTTATATAATTCCATTTTCTCTCCTTTCTTAGCATATTATACTTCTTTTTAAAAATTTTAGCAGTTGCCCTATAATTTTCAGTATACATTAACAACTAATCTTAGCCAATTTTCAAATAACAACATACCACTTCGTGTGTACTGCAGCTACCTTACAAACAGAGTATTCCTCATTCTTCCCTCCTGGCCTTTAGAGCATTGTTGTTCTAGTTTTCCCCCATTCTTTCTTCTCTTTGCATTTCAGTTTGGAATGTTTCTACTGGTCTGACTTCAAGCTCACTGATTCTTTCTTTGGCTGTGTCTGGTCTACTGATGAGCCCATCAAAGGCATTCTTCATGTCTGTTACAGTGTTTTTATTTCTAGCATTTCCTTTTAAATCTTTCTTAGAGTTTCCACCTTTTTGCTTACATTACCCATTTATTTTTACATAATAATTTTTCTATTAGAGCCCTTAAAATATCAATCATAGTTATTTAAAATTCCCTGTCCTATCATTCCAACACGTGTGTCATATCTGAATCTGATTCTGATGCTTGCTTTGTCTCTTCAGATTATGTTTTCTTATTGCCTTTTTATCATGCCTTAAATTTTTTGGTTGAAAGCCAGACATATATCAGGTAAAAGGAATTGAGCCAAATAGACCTTTAGTGTGAGTTTTTATGCTAATCTGCCTAATAGCTGTGCTGTGTTTGATGTTTCCTGTAGCAGAAGGTGCCAGATGCCTCAACTGCTCCAGTGTTCTTGTTTTTATATTCCCTGTTGGCGCTGGGCTTCTTTAAGTATTCCTCCTCAAAGAGAGACTGCATCTTGCAGCTCTCTCATCTATAATCCACTATTATTATACCGGAGTCCTATTTGTGTGGTGGTACAGTATTGGAGAGGAGAAGCATTCTGTAATATTATGATTAAATTTTAGTCTTTTTGTGGACCTCTGTCCCTGGGCTGTGACCTTCATTAGATGAGACAGGAAGGGTAGAAGGGTCTGGAGTGAAAGGAATGCTTTGCCCCATGTGGGAAAACGTTCTGGTAAAGTACTTTTTCCCTGGAGAGTAAGGCTTTGCATGGAGAACGCTTCTGATGTATTTCACAATGGTTACTCTTTCCCTCCCCTCTGCCAGCACTATGAGAGGATCTTTCCAGGTTCTTCGTCATGAGAAAATCTGATGGGATTTCTGGAGGTAAAACCCACAAGAGCATGAGAACTCTCCCTAAGATTGAGAAACCTGGTGTTTCTTATTCTCATTCTAGTCCACACTCAGCCTCAGACAATTCGTCAAAATTACCATTTAAGGGCTCCTACCGATTTGTGGCTCTAGTTGCTTCTGCCCCAGGGAAGCGGATGTTGGCTATGACTCTCTGGATTCACCTGCCTCTCCAACCTCCAGGACGGTCACTTGTCCTGTAACCTCAGTTCTCTGATGTTCCAAGAAAAATCACTGATTTTCATTTTGTTCAGATTTTTCTTATTGTAAGGATAGGAGTGAAAATTTCCAAGCTCTTTACATAGTAGAGCTGAAACTTTAAGTCCTAAAGTTTTATATACATGAAATTGTACAGTATATATTGTTTTTTCTCCAGCTGCCTTCACTCAGCATGATTATTTTGCGAATCATCCATGCCGTAATATATCTATTCCTTTCCATTGCTGAGTAGTAGTCTATTAAATGGAATTACCATGATTTATTTATTGATCTACCTGTTGATTGATTATTAGGTTATTTCTAATTTTCACCGATGACAAATAAAGCTGTTATTGTGACCAGAAACCAGGCAAGGAAAGGGTTAATGAAAATCAGATCCATAACTAAACATAGTCTGTCAAATGTTTTCCAGACAAGGAGAAAACTAAATGTGCTGTTTTTCAGAAGTTGATGTCCTTGTTCTTGGAGAGGTTGCCATCCTACAGTGAAACTCACATGGTTGCAGCAGGACCCCTGCAAATTGCTACAGCTCTAAGTATCCAAAAGTTACCTTGGACCAGTTGTGTAATGGCATGTTGCAATTGAGCTCCTTATGTAAAGGCCTGCACATGGGCACTGATTAGGCCCAGTTATTACACAGTTGTAACATATTCTCTGATCTCTGGGGTATAACGTCTCCAACTGTACTAAGCTTGGTTGGGGCAAGGACACTGCTTTGGGAGCTAACCCCAATATTCTCCACTGCTTGTGCAAAGAGGTTGTGACATTTCACATTTCC